CCTGTACCTTGGAGGAGAGCACAGTAAAGCTAAGCCCTTTTAACATAATTAGATCTACGAAGTATGGGCCTGAACTTCCACTAGAGGGCACAGTGAAACTGTGTTCCTTCTAGGGGTCCCATATGCTTAAGGGGTGACCCGACCTTATCCAACTCCACCAGAGAACAATCATCTCCAGCATCATAAACAACACCATATCTGCAAAGATTAAAGTCACTGTCACCATTTCTAGAAAATATTGAAACAAAACTTAAGCCATCTAAAAATGTAGCTGTGTTTCCCGTTTCCCGTTTCCCCACCAACCCTATTTTTTCATGCCGACCCTAATACATCTTATTGGTTTTTTACAGTCACTGGTATGCATTTATTAGCAGTTTAATTGTTCAAAGTGTACATGTAATTTGCTATGCATTTTATTAGCCTTGGCTGGTGGTCAATGGCAGAGTTGTATTTGAAGATAGTGGCTAATTAGCAGCCCTAGATAATTGTGCTTATGATATATGTTGGGATCTGTACAGTAGTGTGATTAGCTGTCTGTAGTCTAGGTGGGGGAGTCTAGTTTGTGATGACAGTGTTTGTGATGACAGCTGATGATGACCCTGGAGTCAAATTTAGCAGGATTTATGGCCAGTTGAATTAAGTTGTATAGGGGTCGAATTTTAAGAGGATTTCAGCAGCATCAACAATTTTAATGTACATGTGTATCGTTTGTAGGATTTTGCTAAGGGACAGATAGTAAGGTAGTTCAGCTTGGGAGACGAAGCAGGAGAAGAGAGTTGGGTTGGGGAGTTGAGTTAAGGAGTCTAAAAGAAGGAGGTTGAGTTAGGCAGACAGAGTTGAGAGGTCAAGAGATATAGAGGAGAATAAGGAGGTTTGAGTTAAAGTGAGAATTAGGAAGTTAGTAATAATAATAGTTCTGGCTGTAGCTTTTGGAGATAAGTTTGGAGTGGAATGATTGAGTTCCAATGGTGAAGACTTGTATATTTTATGACAGATTAAAAAACTTGTATTGTAAATATAAATGTACCAATTAATTTGTTGTTCAATTAATTTGAACTGGTTGCTGTGGAAATTGTGAACAGAAAGCATCAGTTATACAAAAGAAAATGTAACACTGGAGACCATCAGTGGAGTTTGGATTACTAGAACTAGTGTATGTCCAGCAGTAGGGATAATTTAAAAATGTAACGCAGGTGGCAGCACTACTGTGAAGTAAATTGGTTATTCCATAAACATTTAGTTGGGTCAAATAATAATTTATGTTGTGTACTTTATATGTTGTTTAGGCCTGCTCAACACAAAAGTGGTAATGAGGGATAGGGACTTTTTTATTTGTGTACTTATTTTACATGAATGAACAATTATATATTTGATGCCATTCATACTTTATTAAAACAATAACACATTTTTAAAATTCAAGGAGTTAACTGGGGGATTTTCTTCACCAGAAAACCCCCCCAACGTTTTTCCTACCTCCCTACCTTTTTTTTTTGGGAGCTGAAACAGGAAACA